TTTTTGTATATTTTTGTAAATAACGAAATACTGAAGTTAGAAATTTTGAAGAAAAAAATCAGGAAAGAATGCCGAAAACTAAACGAAATCGTGGATTCCCAAGATTCCTAAACGCTTTGGTGTGCTCATCGGTATCGCTAACGAACGTCATCGCCATTAGCCGGTTTCGCTGGCATCACCGGCGGTTCCACGGTGACGTCGTCGATCTGTAATTTGCTTCAAATCGATTTTCTTATTGATTTTTTAACGTCGGTAATTCGTTCTCGGCGATTATCCTTCAAAGTTGATCTTATTTCGTTGTGGGAACTGCTGAAGCTTTACTTCCGTAGCGTTCCTTGCCGTGCGCGTCAAGGTAGATAAGCGATTTTATAGCCCAGTGCCAAACCGCTTCAACACCTGTCGGCTTCTTTGATGTTCGATGTTTATATCGATGGATGATAATAGTTTAGACGTTTGAACGGCAACAAAGCTGTTTTACTTTATACTTGCCATACGATTCCCTAATATTGATCGGTACTGACTCTCTGAAAATTTAGTGTTTACCGGCTGCTCGATAACACGCATACTGTTCACTGAGAGTCATCTTCACTGAGAGTTCTTTTAGTAGATCGGAACTATTAAGTGGAGTTTTTGAAGAGTTCCTAAAACTTCTCCCTCACGATTGGATCACGAAAGAGGAATATATGGGTCATTGGCAAGTGGCGGCGTTCAGACATCCGATGTTGAAGGATCGATTCCTTGCACAAATAGGAAGTCTATTCGTCGCTGTTTTTATAAGTGCATAGATGGCATTAGATTGGGCTCTACAGTCAGAATTGCTTTTCTGGAAGTTCCTGAGAAGCGCTGGTCGCTGAGCAGATTCTCTGGTTCGCGCCACGCATCCGACTTACATCCAAAGCTGTAGGTATACCCAAATAGGTATTCGGTTTGACTGATGACTGAAAGGTTATTGTTTATACCACCTCTAACAGAATTGACCCACTTTGCTAACCAGGAGAGATACCAGGGAGGCTTGGCAAGCTAGATGATCTCATGGGCTGTGCAAGTGCAGCCGAAAACTCTTCCCACTGCATCACCTCCTCTTTCTTCGAAAACGGTCATGTAAAACAGTTTCATGTAAGGTAGGAGGTTCCTCCTAGATTTGCTCCTTGACTCATACCGCAAATTGAAATATATCTCAAAAAGTTACCCCTGGCAGGGTTCATCGTCGAAGTAACATTTGTCCACTTTTTATTAGGTTGGAAGGAAAGTTCCTTAACACTTGTAGCTCAATTTTTGAATTTTTTTTATTCTTTATTTATTCAATGATCCATAACATATTGACCATTAGATACAACAACACTACGCCAACCTTCGGGCATTTGGGTGACACCGCAGAAATTAGAAATTAGGAAGATTTTTGCCAAACAACCTTCTGGTGTCGGATTTGCGCTCGTTTACGTCGTCGAGCTTCCTGTTCTCCAGGTAATGAGCAAGCGAGCAGGAAAGGTTGAAGAGGTGTATAGATAGGTTTGACGAATATGGCAGACGGGCAGCCGCGGTCCTGCCTGGCTTCAGAGTCTTGTGGCTTGAGACCGAACACCCGCGACGTTGCGCGTTGTCGTGAAGCAGGTTGACTTGTCGCTATATTCGGCGAAGCTCTTCTGCAATCTTTTCGAGCAGCTAGCATTGTGAAGCCCTTGTACTCGTCAATCCTCCAGACAGATCATCACCCGTGGGAAATACCGTCAAACGTCAAAATGGGCAGTAGTCGTGTGTTGCGTCAGAAAGATCAAAGTCTTCGCTGCGGAGCGTTTAAACCAAGCCGAAACCGCCATGTGAGAGAACGTGCCCAGGCCTATCCCGGGACTGATCCTGACCACCTCTGGTGGGCAGATCTCTCTAGGCGGAGCTCTTACAGAATGAGCGCTCGGAGTGTCTGGCGGGAAAAGTTGATTTAGTGCCATGCAAACGCCATTATTGGGAAAGCTGATTTGATCACCGTACGTAGCACGGTCCACTCCTACTATATACCACCCATGGAAGATTCCAGAGCATTCGGGAGAAATCCAGAAAGAGCGCGAATTGAGTGTTAAGGAACTTTCCTTCCAACCTAATAGAACTCCTTTTTTATAACTTCGTATAATCGTATTCATAAAAGCTCATCTTTGACTGATGCCCATCATCTGGCTCATCATGTCCATTACGACATACATCACAATATGTTAGCCTTTTATCATCTGATGATACCTCCAATCAAACTCTGCTAGGCCTTCTTTTCTGGAAGAAAGTAGAAGAATGCAGAATGGAACATTAAATGAATAGTTTCGGTTGTTTGTGGACTAAAAGAGGCTCTCGATGAGAAGTTTGCAGTGGAACGCAGGAGTAGCATTCTGTCTCTTTGATGCACGATCTAAAAGGCTGAGGCGCTAAGGTCTAAATCTACCATGCTCCACCCACCACCACACACCCCGCCCACAGTTCAGGTGTTTTCGTTCCAGTCGGCGAACTCTTCCCGATTTTTTTACAGCTCATTACTTTCAATAAATTCCCTCTTCATTTATTCATATATTTCATTTTTTAAATTACGCATATTACATATAAAAGGAGATATTAATTGATTTCTTCCCGCTTTCCAATCACTCCGGTGTAACGATTTTCAAACGCTCCAATCACTTACAGGGCCAACACCACTTATGTAAATTCGACCCTGGGTTTGCCTGAGTGGCGCGTAACAATCCGGGTGAAAATGGAGTTGGTGTGGGGGTGAGAGCACTCCGTTGTGTCCTGTCACTGTAATACTTGATAAAACAAAATCAACTCATTTGAAATGGACAACTCTATAAGGACCAGTGTAGTGCCCTACATTCCATATATTCTGTTAGGGTCCTATAAAAATTTTCGCACATAAGTTAGTTGTTCACTCACTTTGGGGCTCCTCCTCTCTCCACTCCTTCCTTAGCTTGTGCAGATGTCTTTATCCTTTGGCTCGGAATAGTTTGCTTCATTATTCCCTTTATAGAAGGATCCAGAGGCCTTAACGTCGTAGTCGCCGGTCCGAAGATTTGATTTCATTCGATCATAACGACATTTAGTGGCGTTCGTCAACGCTGTGGGACTTTTGAGGCCTTAGAAGGTTTGGGTGATCACCGAGCCGAACTTCTTTTTTAGTTTGGAATTTAGTTATGTAGTTAAAAAGCGAACATGCGCTGTGCAAGGTGAAGTGAGGAGTTTTCCAAGTGGATTCTCTCTCTCCCTCTCTCTCCCTTTCTCTGTGAGCTCTTTCCCCCATGGTCTTGTTTTTTGCACAAACAATCGACAAAATCGTTGGAACCGTTCAATTTGCACATTTTACTCTCCGATCTTTAATAATCCCTTAGTTAAAAATAGAATTTCGATGTAGTGGTGTTGTTTTTTGAACGTCACAAATGCGGTCGACTTTGACCCCCCTTTTCGGCATGCGTTACGCATTCGATTTCCGTTAAGAACAGCTGTAGCACTGGAGTGGGAGCTTAAAGGCAAGCTCTGGAGTAAAACTAGCTGTATGAACGCTCCGTAATGATCACTGAGCTGCGAAATGAACTGAAAGCGGAAAGGAAAGCAAGAGAAGTTATTATAACGCAAAATTAAGGCCTTAACCTTCAGTAAGGTCGGATGTGGTACGACGGCGAGAAAGGGCGATCAAGAGAAGACAAAATACGCGAGAGAGCACGCTGATCTCTACATAAGTCGCGGAAGGGGGGGGGAGCGTTGCAACGGGGGTCGATGGTTGCAGGCCCGTAAGGATTTGTTCTAGTGCAATTGGTGCGAGGAACTGGTGTGATCGGTGGAGCACTGCACCTACAATTCTTGCTGGTACTCTTCCTATAGTCTGCGCTGATGCTGTGTTTTGCTTTTGAGGTCTAAATTACGGTGACAAGAGGCTTTAGATAATCAGGTAGAGTGTTCGTGGTGGCCGGTGAAACGTTAACAATGGAGATCGATTCGGGTATTTGATCGTTAACACAGCTGTGTGATTAGCGCGGCTCTCACATCAAGCTAAATTCCGTTTTTATAAACAAATTTTTCGATTGCGCGTCGATAAGTGTTTGTGGGCGTTTAGCATATCTACCACGAGGTCCGAAATAATTAATGTGGAAACTAATCAGTAATAGTGTTATAATAAATATAGAAATCCGAACTTAATGAAATTAGTCTATGCAGTCATTAAATTAGTTTAATCTGTTTTAACTTGGTTGATTACAGGCTACAGTTCGACACGGCCTTAAACCGACTCATCCCACTTCCGTAGGTACTTTCGATTTACGAGATGTCTCATATTGGGAAAGTTTAAAATTACGGATCTGACTGACGTGAAAGTCCTTTCCCTATGGTTCTATGATGGTATTGGTTTCAGGAAGATATATGACTATACGGCTCGGACGTCTAATTATTCGAGTGAGTTTTTTGGTATGTATTTTAATTTTTGTTTTTTTACTTATCTTAATTGCTGCGATTTTAGCTTTTGTTATCAGCTTCCTACGCCGAGATTGCAGAGTCACAGAGAGGCCCTGAAGACGTCAGGGCTGGATACAAAGCGGAACTTTCAGGCTCACCATCAAACGAGAGTCGTCTTCGAGCGCAGCACAGCGACATCGTATAGAAGGTGGAGTTCGGAACTAAATGATGAAATCAGTTTTGGAATGGCTACGTGTTTCTTTTTCTTTTTCTTGCTTTGAAGCGGTCTTTTCAAGAATGAAGCATCTTCTTGACGGAAGTCAGTGATTCTTTTTACTAATATTCTATTCGTTTTTGATAAGGATTGAATATTTTTATTGTGTGTTTTTTTGTTTTTGTTTGTTAACTGCTGTTTTTGGCCGCAGTTCGCCTTGCGAATGTTTCACAAGAATGCTGGGTTGTGAACAAAACTTTCGCCCCAGGCGGGACTAGAACCCGCACCTCTCGCTTTCCGGGCAAGTGCGCTACCAGTTACGCTACCGGGGCACCATTTCATTCCAACTCAGCTTTTGTATTAACTTTGTATTAATATTGTTATATTTTTTGTATTTTCGAACCCGTTTGACTGCTGAGGATTTTAATATAATATTTTCATACAAACTTTTCGTAACCCATCGCAGGTTACGTTAGGTAAACTGGTTGATTCAGAATGATTGCGCTTGATTTCAGCTGCACCGTCAGTCGCTAGTCAACCAACACGACCGCCGGCACCAATTGAGTCCGTGCCTGCACCAGCTTCTCAACAGCAATGCTGTATGTTTTGTTTACTTACATGTTTATTTACTTGTTTACCTAATTATTTGATCATCTGGCTATTTTTTAAGCATTATAAATCGATATTATCCGACAGTGTTGAACCCTTATCTGTTTGCATTGGCTTGAAATTTCTACCTTGACTACGGGCTGCTACCACTTTCGAAGCCCTTAGCGGTTGCCTGCACCTCTTCGCCTCTTGGCTCAATAGCTTAAATGTCAAAAAGTTTTCTAAAAATTTGATTTCCATTGAACATTTTTTTGGACACTGTTCCATCCAATATTCGCCACAATTTCTCGAACATCGACAAGTGCATGGCGTATACCATACTGAAAGCCCTTTTTTAGCGGTGGCGCCGTCGACGTCGACGTCTCTGGCAACTACCGGTAGAGCATCTCCTCGAGCCAAGAAAAATGCCGTACAGAACAGTGTTGACCAGCCTACCGAGGTTTGTTTTCCGATTCAATCGATAATTGATTTTCCAATAACTCTGATATCTAAGGCTGAAATTCGATCAAGAAAGTCATCGTCGTCAAGTCAAAAGTCGAGTAAAAGTAAGCGAGCAAGGAAAGAAGAACTCACCAGGGAATTCGAGAACTGTCTGGAACAGGTTGGTTATTTGTTCGTGAGACCACTGTCAATTATCGATTTATTGATTGAGCCATTGATTTATTTTGAAGGTGTTGACGTGGCTTTTGGAAGCCGAAGAAGAACTCAGCTTGTTAGAAAAAGTGGATCGTGACGACCTGAAAATAGTTCGGAAACAATTCAGAGATTTCGAACAGTTCATGGCGTCCCTAACGGAAAGTCAGGATACGGTAGGCAGAGTGCTGCACAGGTGAGTCTATATGGCAGAGAATTTCTTCAGAATAGAAGTGGCTCTCTCTGGATAATTATGCAGTTCAAAGCTATTATTTTGAATTTCATGAAGTCAGAGTAGTTGGTGTAAAATAATAGGTACTGTAGTGAATAGTAGGTACTGTAGTGA